CAATAATTCATTTTTTCTCATACATACAGAACAAAGTGGAAAAATTATGGTATGCAAAAGAAATGCCTGTTATGTAAGTTTTAACTTAACATGTTAAAATAAAAAGTAAATAGATCATTCTCCTAGGCAAAAACTGGCACCAATTTTGGAAAACTATGATTGTAATATTCTACAAGTAATCCTTGACTCACAATGACTGAAATTTCTGTTCCTACACAATCTGTTTATATAAAGTACAATCACATCATTTAACAAAGGTAATTTCTGCAGTCCCAGTTGCGATCATTTACCGACTCCCAAGGCTGTTGCCTAACAACTTCCCAAAACCACATCAGAGAAGTGGTAAGTAAGTCATAAGCAGGCTGGTAAGCAGGTAAATGGCTGCTGGCAATTGGGAGGGTATGCAAGGAGATGTGGCATGGGTTGGAAAGGGTGCACATGGAGGGAGGAACAGCAAGGTTTGGAAAGGTGACCATAGATATGCAAGGGAGTGAGGGAGGCATGATGACAGCCAAGGTGGGAGTGTGAGTAAAGTGCAGTGAGGTTAAGGGGGTGTATGGGAGTAGTGAGAATGTGAACGATGCACAATAAGAATTGGGGAGGGTACATGGTAATATAAGTGAAAGAGAAAGGCATGGCAAGGTGTGGTGACTATATGAGTGCAATTAGTTATTGATTGTAAATATTGAAATATTATTAAATCCAGAAGACAGGAAAATATAAAGGCCCTTTAACACAGGACTGGCACCTGGTAGGTAGTACGTGACCCTGCCAGCCTAGCCAAATGTAAAGGAGGAGGGAACAAGCCAAAGTGGCACAGTGCAGGACTTGCTGTGAGGGAGGAACTGTGGGGTGGCTGGGCTGAGACACTTCTGGCTCACTGGGAAGAGAAAGAAGGAAGGGGCGGAGATAGGAGAGGCTATAAAAGGAGGCAGTTTTGGCAGGACAGGGAGAGGGGGGAAAAAAGATGCCAGAGAAAGAGTCAGAAGGGAGAAAAGGCTTTTGGGGAGGTGTGTGTGCATGAGAAAGAGAGGGAAGGCTTTTGGAGAGACTTGTGCGTGAAAATGGGAAGGCTTTGGACAGATGTGTGTGTGAGATTGGGAAGGCTTTGGAGAGATGTGTGCATGAGAATGGGAAGGCTTTTGGACAGACATGAGCATGAGAATGAGAAGGATTTGGAGAGATATATGCATGAGAGAGAGAGAAAGGGCTTTTGTGAAGGAAGGAAGGAAGGAAGGAAGGAAGGAAGGAAGGAAGGAAGGAAGGAAGGAAGGAAGGAAGGAAGGAAGGAAGGAAGGAAGGAAGGAAGGAAGGAAGATTGGAATGAGGGGCAGGGAGGGTCTGAGAGAAGTCCTGCCTTAGCACTTGGCCAACAGCAGCCCTTCTGCCCTTTCGCCAGCCCCTTGCCCTATCCTCCTGGGCTATCCTGGTGGTCTCCCATCCTACCACTAAGGATGATTTGGTTACAAAGCTGAGTTTCCTCACATGGAGAGGGAGTGGGCCTCCTCTGATCCATGAACTTTGCCCTCCTGCACCAGCATGAGTAATCTAGCCAAGGAGAGCGAGGACAGCAGCAACAGCCTTGAGGAGGAGGTAAACACAGCTGGATGCCCCCTTGGGGAAATGGAGCTGGACTGAATTGACTGCAGAGTCCTGGTGCTGCAGAAGCTCGACAACTGGGCTGGGTGCTTGCCCTCTGCTGTCCAGGGCTCTGGGCAGCCCGCACCACCGTCCAGGAGCCCCTGCACAGCCCAAGAGGGATGGCGAGGCTCCTCCAGTGGACCATGCCCCGGCACCCACCCCATTCATACACCCCTCCACCAGAGACCCCTAGATTCTACCCTATGGGCACCCCCTGACCTGAGTGACATTGAGTTGGCAACACACACCGACCCCTCAACAGTAACCACAATGCTGATGCAGCCCTCAATGAAATCAAGTTTGACACCCCTGATATAAAAGGAGGAGGCCGGAGAGGAGACGATATAATAATACTAGTACTAATAATAAAGTTGGAAGGGACCTTGGAGGTCATCTAGTCCAAACCCCTGCTCAGGTAGGAAACCCTATACCATTTTGGACAAATGGCTGTCCAGTCTTAAAAACTTCCAGTGTTGGAGCATTCATCGCTTCTGGAAGCAAGGTTGTTCCACTGGTTAATTGTTCTGTCAGGAAGTTTCTCTTTAGTTCTAGGTTGTTTCTTTCCTTGATTAGTTTCCATCCGTTGCTTCTTGTCCTGCCTTCACGCACTTTGGAAAATAGCTTGACTCCCTCTTCTTTGTGGCAGCACCTGAGATATTGGAATACTGCTATCATGTCCCCCCTCGTCCTTCTCTTCATTAAACTAGACATACCCAATTCTAGCAGCCGTTCCTTATATGCTTTAGCCTCCAGTCCTCTAATCACCTTCGTTGCTCTTCTCTGTACTCTTTCTAGAATCTCAACATCTTTTTTACATCGCGGTGACCAAAACTGGATGCAGTATTTCAAGTGTGGCCTTACCAAGGCATTGTAAAGTGGTATTAATACTTAACACGTGATCTTGATTCTATCCCTCTATTAATGCAGCCTAGCACTGTGTTGGCCTTTTTGGCAGCTGCAGCACACTGCTAAAAAGGCCAACACAGTGCTAGGCTGCATTAACAGAAGGAGGGGGGCTGCATATAAAAGAAGGAGGGGGAGAGAAGAGGATATAAAAGGAGAAGGGGTGATAAATTTGTTAAATGAGTTTTGCCCCATTTTATGACTTTTCTTGCCACATTTGTTAACTGAAACATTGCAGTTATTAAATTAGTAACATGGTTGTTAAGTGAATCTGGTTTCCCCACTGACTTTGCTTGTCAGAAGGTTGCAAAAGGGGATCACATGACCTGGGACACACTGACCATCATAAATATGAATCAGTTGCCAAGCATCCGAATATAAATCACATGACCCTGGGGATGCTGCAATGGTCATAAGTGTGGAAAATGGTAATAAGTTATAACTTTGAACAGTCACTAAGCAAACTGTTGTAAGTCGAGGACTACCTGTACTTTATCACTTTTTTCCTGCTCTCACAGTCTAAACTTGTGTTTACCAATTATACAATATTTGGGATTTTACACATATGAAATAACATAAAGTTAAAGATGTGCAATGATTTCATAATAAGGAAACAGATGCAAGTGAAATACATCTGCTCAGTTCTACGAACTGCCAAATAATCAAGGAGCACAACTGATTTAGTTAAGAAAAGACAGAGTTGCTTAAGAAAATAATTTTGTTGTTTGCTTAGTTATTTGGGTTATAACTCTTTAGATGTCCACCTTCTAAATGCAAATTTTTAAAAAATACTTACATTTTTCAAGTACTATTTGAATGCTAAATTGCCATCCAATATTTTCAAAATAGAACTTCCTATCAGACAACATGTATATTTATCATACAAGAAATATAATTGTTAGTCTTACTATTTATCTTGTTGAATAGGAAACAGACTTGATTTTATGTCTTTACTGTCAAGGTTTGGCTTTTTACAAAAATGCAAACCCATGACTATTCCTTAGTATCTTCCTCTTTTTTTTCTCTCCAACTCTTATTATTTCTCCTTTGTGATTTTCCACAACTTCAGCCAACTGTTGTGGGCCATGTTGTTTCCCCAAACTATTCTGATTTGTGCAATGGCTCTCAAATCAATTGCCTCTAAACCCAGTACAAATTCTTTATTTTTCATACTATTTCAAGGCTTTTATTTATTTATTTGTTCTATATGCCATTTTTGTTTTTTTTTAAATACCTGCAAAGCTACTCTGAAAATGAAAAATGATCTGATATTATCTCTTTTTAATTGTGAAACATTGATCTGATTCTTGCCCTTTTAGCTTCACCAGAAGTCAGAAGATATCACCTTTTTCTGCCAAGGATTGATTAGACCTGCATGTTTTCTTTAATCCTTTTAACAATGTTTTAATCATTAATAATAATGTTGCATACACACAATTATTCATGTAAGTAAAACAGAGAACAGGAAAGGACAAAATTGCTTTCCAAAGTGTGATGGAACTTTGGAATATAATTAATACTTATATTCAGGGCAATTAACATATCTTTAAACTTTCAATCACTCTATATAAAGCAGTTATATTATTACCCAATGATTAAGGGGATGAGGTGATGCAACTACAATTCAAAATAAAAAAATAGAAATTTCATAAAAAGAAAATAGTTAATATGACCATTTATAATTTTATTAAGAATTACAGAAGAAACTAAGCTATTTCAATAAAAACTGCTCAAAACATCTGGCCAACTATCACTGCCAAATCGTTTATCCAAAAAAATGTAAGATATCTATTAGTTCTGAAGTTGTAATGATTGGCTTGGACTGACTGAATCAAAAGCAAAAAAATCAGTGATTACTGATAGTAATCACTTTCTGGATGAAACGGTACATTAAAATCTTTATAATGGAAGTCAATGCTACTTGTAAATATCATATAATTCGGGGATGATAGCATTCTAGAATCTCAGAAAGTGAATTAAAACAATGCAATGGGGAAAAAAACTGGTAAAAACTCTTTCTTTTTATTCTTTAATCTCTCAGGGTTTTTTTCCCCCTCTCTTCTCTTTCTGCAAAAATTTGGAATTAATCGTTTACAGAACAAATGTCTAGTTAATATTTCATGGGCTGGTAAAAATATTCCATACATTGGAATGTGATGGAATAACAATAACTGAGGTCATAGAGAACTGTCTGTCAGAATCCACTGAAACACAATGTTTCCTTAAATTATTATTTTGTGAATTATTCTACTAATTGCACTTTAGAGGAAAATATGATATTTTTTTTTATCTCTAAGTTTACTATGCATATTGCATGGGATATTTCACAGTGTTATTGATTTGTTAAAGCAACCATTCTCTTTCTTCAGTATCACAAGAGACTTCCATGGAAGCCTTCTTTATCAGCTGGTCAAAAAGTGGACCCATATATAAAATGAAGTACAATATACACTTACTTTCTGAAAAAATAATTTCATCATTGCATTCATCATCTTTGCAGGAACACATATATAACAGTCCTCCAGCTCCTTTCTTCTCTTTCATTATGCATTTCTTCGAATTGAAATCATCCAATTTGTAACCGTGGAGCTCTATTGTAGGATCATGGCATATTGTTTCTAGGGTTATGTTCCCATTATTCTTTCTCCTAAAAACAGTGGAAAATTTTAAAAAAAGCACAAACATTTCTTTTTAAAGAAAGACAACTGAAAATAGGGTAATGTACAATAAAAAAAAATAATTGTGACAAAATTAAATTTTATGCAAGTTACTATAATTATAACATTTCAATAACGTTTACTGCAGTAATTTAAACAGCATTAAATTATCTGAAATGAAAAGTCTAAAGTTCTATCGTAGTAAACATATATTTATTGAAATAATTGTCTGCACAGATGTGTATAGTTTTGAACCATCTTGGGAATTATTTTTGAGGAATGGTTAGTTATAGCAATAGCACTTAGACTTATATAGTTCTTCACAGTGCTTTACAGCCCTCTCTACATGGTTTACAGAGTTAGCATATTGCCCTCAACATTTTACTGACTTCAGAAGGATGGAAGGCTGAGTCAACCTTGAGCTGGTCAGGATCGAACAGATCGAACAGCTGGCAGTCAGCAGTTAGCCTGCAATACTGCATTGTAATCACTGCACCACTACCAATCCCTAAATTTGAGATGACTATGAAGCCAACAACTGAACTGAAGATGTGGATTTGAAATCATTGAATATGCACAAACAGTTTTAATATGTATGTGTGTGAGTTACTTATAAAAAATAATAAAATAGAGATCAAAATTTAAAACAAAAGATTGTCCTCAGATGTTTGGAGGAACATCTTGTGGTATCTAAAATACACAAATGTGTATCTACAGAATTTGATTCATGTTAGGAAGATAGTATAATGAAGGTGGTAGCAATGGCGATAGGGAGAGGAAGAACATAATACACTACCCATCTCAATCTGCCATCTTCACAACACGAATAATCATCCTATAAAACTTATTATCAAAGTTCTTCTTCTAATCAACACTGCTGCAGCAAGACAGTGTTTTAAAGGCAATTTAATATACTTGGCTTGTTTCAAATCTTATAACCTTAATTTCCAATCTGGATGGAATCAAAACTTGATGCTAATTAGAAGTCTCCCAGTTCAATTATGTTGTGAGAATTGTAGAAGTCAAAAATACTTCCTCGTATATCTACTTATTAATATGATAATCTAAACCAAATCAATGAGTTTTAATCGAATCTTGTTGAGTATCTTTTAAAGTTTCATATGGCTTTCAAGACACTGAATCTATTATAGCTTGTACACCTCTGTGTTTATAGTGAGTCATATTAGAGTGAATTTAAATAGGCATCACTTAATATACTTCTAATCAAATCTGCTCTATAATGGCCATCTTCTGAAGAGATCCTAACTCACTTGCTTTGCTTAGCAAAGGACTGGAACTTGTTATCAGATGTAAATGTCTGAATTTCATAACTACCTAGGCCCTCTTCCCCAGGTACATTTGTTTCAATTTGCAAGAAAATGATACTCATGCAATATAATAAGAATTTCAATATACTACATTGAAATGAATGGAAATAAAGCTTAATTTTATCTGAATATCACAATAATCAAAACATTTTGCACTTTTTGCCAAAACTATAGTGGAAATTGGAAACAATTTTTTAAAGAAACAAAACCCAACACAATGAATCATATGCCATTGCTACAATGAACTTACCAAACAGCTGCACAGATTTCATTTTTCTTTGAACAAATAGAAGTGATGTTGCAGTTACTGCAACAATGACCTTCGTTGGTACATGTTGTCAATCTAACATCACAAAATTTGCATAGTTTCCCCATTTTGAATCCACCACTAAAGAAGTTATGTTCACGATATTCAGCTACAAAGGAAATATATATATAAAATAATATAGATCTTCCCATAAAAATACATTTTATTTGCCAAATTATATTTTAATATGTATCATTATGAACAATATTTTTGTATCATAAACATGTGCAACAAATGTTGGTTTTTTTCCATCTGACAAAATAAGGTAAGAATCTTATACTACAATAATTTGCTTTAACTGGTATAGATTTGTAGAGCTATTGTCCTGAAAACACACACACACACACACACACACACACACACACACACACACACACGTTGGGAAACACTACATAACTGAACTTTTTTGACCAGGCTATAACATCCATGAAGCAAAGGTAATTATTGTCAAAAGCAAAGACCTACATGAGTAAAAATTAAAGAACCATCAAATTATGCAACCATAATTTTAAAATTAAATTTTTAAATCAAATTTAAAATTTGATGAAAATAATCTTTGAAATTATTGTTGTATCAACATGAATTAATGAACATAGAACACACGAACCACCCTAATTTGGTGGGATGCTCTTTATTCAGACATTGCATATATCTTACACAGACTACACACATCACACCTATATTTGGAATTTAAGTAATACTTAGAAAAGTTCAGCCAGAACAAGGGGAAGAAAACAAGCCTCACATATTGCAAGACAAGTAACTTAGAAGTAAGGGATTTTCCAGTCTGAGAAATGAAAATATTTGTCTTGCATTTAGGTTTCATAGCCACGTTTTAAAAGGAACTTTCTGTGTTTCTCCCTTTGTTTGTAGAAAATGCATGGCTTCTACTAGAATTATGGACTTTCCATTTTATTAATGGAATGACCAGTCAGATGCAAATGTCTGTGCGTGGGTAATATTATGCTCTGAATTTGAAGGCAGTAATCTGTATTTGTTAAGGATTTGTATTAACTTTTGAGTACTAAGAGGCTGAGTTATGCTGGCACTCTAGAATATTTTGTTATTACAACTTTTGCTCTTTTCACAATAATATTTTGACTTTATAAATAAGCACTAGCATTTAGGGTCAAATCCATGTAATTAATAATCTCAATATGCAGAACAGCTGAAAAGAGTAAATATGAATACTAATGAAATACACCATTTTTTTTTTTAACAAAAATGATGGTTCATGTTTTTTCTTTTCAGTTACTAAATAAAATGTGATAGAACTTCAAAATGCAATATTTATTTATTTTCAGGGCAAACAATACATATTTAAGCTTTTCATCATACAGTATTAGAAAGCAGATTTGCCTTTCTAAAAGGTAAGAAATGAAATCGCAAGTCATATTCAGTAGATTTAGAAACTTGTAACACAGTCCTTTCCAGTACTAAAAGACATGGAATAAACTAATTCTACATTGCTTATTAGACAGCAAAAATAGCCTAGATAGGTAGGTAGGTAGGTAATTGATAGATAAATGGACAGAGAGATAGGAAATGCATAGATATCGATAGATAGCAAATATAGCAAATATATATTTGAGCAGGGGGTTGGACTAGAAAACCTCCAAGGTCCCTTCCAACTTTATTATTATTATTAAATATATAAATATGTATAGTGAAACAAGAGCATCATTTGAAATAAATTTCCCCATAATGACTGAATCAGCAGAAAGTCAATTTTATTCCATAGTTGTTTCTTTAAATAATTTGACACCATCTGTATAGTCTCAGGTACTTAGCAGCATGAAAAAAAAAATCAAAGGGCAAAATAAAATAAAAAAAAAGAACCACCAAAGAAGCAGATATGGGGCAAATAAACTATAAGAACATAAATTATTAAGAACTATATATTCTTGCTGTTCTTTAAAATGACTGTAAGAAATATGGATTTAGACTCTAATATTAATGCAAATAAGGTCTAGTTAATATTTGCTGGATTATTGTTTCAGTGAAGCACATCCAAAACTCTAATATTGCAATTTGCAATCTATGCATGTTTTCCCAGAAACTAGATTACTAAAATTGTAGAATTCTACATACTAAAACTTGTTGAGTGATCTGTTTTTGATAGTTAACAAGGACATTCAAATCTGATATTCTTCCACAAAGCATCCCCATAATGCTGTTTTGGGGGGAAAGATAATAATCAAAATCATTTTATTAGTAATTTTATCAAGTCATTTGAACAAATTATTTTACTGTTTTAACAATCTGGTAACACAACAGTAATGTTTATTTTAATACTAATTGATGAGAAATATTAATCTACTCAGGCTCACCTGAGTAGTGCAAATGGGTGTGGAGCCTTCTTTGAACTGTTGAAAGGACTGTGTTGTAGACTGAAAATAGATGAAGATAGATGTTGTAGACTGAAGATAGAGGGGTCAAAGAGGCCATCCATGTCAAAATTGAACAGTCCTCTCTCAATAGAGGGGAAGAGATACAACTTAGTCTACAACAGAGGTCCCCAACCTTTTGGAGACCAGGGACCGGTTCCGTGGACAGAGGTTTTTCCCAGAACTGGAGGGGGCATTATTTCCTGTATTGCCTGCATCCTGGGAATGGGGCTTTGTCTGTGCGGCCTGGTTTCTAGCATGTTGCAGCCCGGTGCCAGTCCATGGAGCAGGAGCTGGGAATCCCTGATCTACAACAGTCCTTTCAATAGTTCCAAGAAGGCGCCACACCCATTTGCACTACTCAAATGTTCTTGTCGACACAGATAAGCCTCCAGGTGGCATCAACAACTCTCTAAAAGAATGCAAATGACCAGCTGTCTGCAAGAAGTATAAATCCTTCCATTCCCCACCATCCAGTCAGAGCTGAAGAAGTTTCTTGGATGAGAAGTGAAATGTCTTCAAAAAGAAAAAAGAAAACCCAGTTGCATTGTGAAAACTTCTATGGGACTTCTATGACTATGGGATTTCCCTGTGTTGATGACTCCTTTAGAATATATCACTAAGTCAAAACTAATTCTAATTTACATTCACTTGGTAAACAATGCAATATTTTTGTGTGTTCATGCTTTTAATATATAAAAAGTAGAGGCAGTCTTCAAGTTACAAGTGTAATGGAACCTGACCATTCCACTCGTAACTCGAAAACTTGTAGAATGAATCTTACTTCTAATGAGATCACTCCCTTGCTCATTAAGATGCACATGGCTTGTTAAGTGCACATGAGGTATCTCAGGGAAGGTCATGGGGGGGTCTAGCGATGGAATAGGCCCCCAAGGCTTCCCTGACCCACTAACATACCTCATGCTTCCCTCTGCCTTCCTGTTGCGCAGACTTACTTACCTTGAAAAAATCTGTCTCCTCTCTTCCACGGTTTCTGCCTTTGAGGGAGAGGAAAGTCGATGGAAGCTCCTGGGTGCCTGTAATATTGCACAAATTCAGACACCGATCCTCTTTTGCAGAGAATGGGAGCCTAAACTCTCACGGTGTTTGCTCCTGCCCCCAACTCCTTTCCACCACTACCGAAACAATTTTCACCAGGACGGAGACCTTGGGAAACTGGAAGTTCTGTCTGCATTCAAATGCATACTTAGAAATGGAGTGCCTCGCTCTTGGCCCCATTTTTGCCACAAAAAGCCATTTCGCAAGCCTCTTCCTAGCAAAAACAAGCCTCTGGAGCAAGCACATCTCGTTCTTTGGCTACATTTTTGCAGGAAAAAGCCATTTTGCAAGCCCCTTCCTAGTGAAAACAAGCCTCGAGAGGAAGTGTGTTCGCTCCGGAGACTTGTTTTCATAGGATTGCTCTTAAGAAGAGCAAGGCGTGCTTGCTCTGGAGGCTTGTTTTTGCTAGGAAGGGGCTTGAGGAATAGCTTTTTCTCCGAAAACTTAGCCATAGAGCTTGCAGTCTCTGCCGGATTTCCATTGGGATAAAAAGTTTTTTAGCTCCTATAGAGCGCAGCCAGTCTTTGCGTTTGGAAGTGCTCCATAGGTATCAAAACATTTTTTTATCCCAACAGAGATTTGACAGAAGGCTTCGTTTTTCCAGCACCCCATTCCAGGCATACGGAGCTTGCAGTCTCTGTCAGTTCTCCACCAGATCTGGCAGAGACTGCAAGCTCCGTATGCCTATAATAGGACGCTTGAGAAACAGAGCCTTCTGTCAAATCTCCGTTGGGATAAAAAAAAGGGGGGCACTTGAGAAACGGAGCCTTCTGCTAGATCTCCATTGGGATAAAAAAATGTTTCAGTACCTATGGAGGGCTTCTAAATGCAGGAACTGGCTGCGTTTGGAAGCACTCTGTCATGGTTCTGATAGATGAAACCCTTCAAAAGAACTTCAAGGCATTGTTTTCCTTAAAGAATATTTTATTCGGAAAAGAAAGTATCAGCACTACATAGTTGAACCCAAAAACTAAATTCCCTTCCTTCTGATACAAAGTAACAAAGTGCAATTCTCACCCCCAATAAACTGTCATAAATCACATTCCCCAATTAGCTTAAAGTGTGGGCTTTCTCTTTAGCTCCACAGTCCGCCAAAATGTTATCAGCTTGTCCTTGAGTTCCCATCACAGCATCATGTTATGGCTAGCTGAGTTTACATTCCAACCCCTCCCTTGCTGCACTTCATTTCTAAAGCAAGAAAAGCATTGTAAAGGAATAGAGAAAATGGCTACATTTTCATCAATTGTTAGCAGCATTGACACACACTATAGGCGCTAAAAGACTCTTTATCCCAACAGAAATCTGACAGAGACTGCAAGCTCCGTAAGCCTGGAATAGGGCGCTTGAGAAAAGGAGCACTCTTTTCCATTCAGTCACACAGGGTGTGTTGAAATATTCATGAACAGGAAGAGTCATGTGGTAACTCAGTCAGCCAATGGGAAGAAAGTGCTACTGAGTCTGTGCAAAAAGAGTATTGAGTTAGGAGCTGGATTTCCAGTCTCAAGGTTTTGTCTCTGGTCTGTCTCTGTAAGAAGTCTTCAATTAAGCTATGTTGCTGTAAAGAAGAATGGTATTGTAAATATTTTTATATAAATATAAAGTTATTTAAATCAGCTAAATGCAGTCAACTGTGAGAGCTTCTGATTTATTTTTCACCAATAGA